AATTGCTTCTTATTAGCACCACTGTCTTATCTAGTGGGTTCTGTGACCAGAAAGCCCTTGATCTGTTGCCCATTTTGTTCGAATGGGCTCTGCCAAGCAGGGTTATCCTTAATTTCTCCTTTTTCTTGTGCCCGTATCATCCTGCATATTGAATTTTTTAAAATTTTTAGTTAGAGTATTCTCGAGTAATTTATCTTGATTTGGATTCCATGAACGATAAACTTTTTGAGTCTTTACATGTTCAAAATATCTTTATTTTCCTTATATACTCGATTTAGACTTTAGCTGGATATAAAAAAGTTCAAACTTTTTTCTTCCTTTTGAAAACTTTGCCTTATTTTTTTATGGATATGTATCCTGATGAGAAAATTAATGTTTTCTTTTTTTGTCTCATTGTAGGTAAACTGGATTTTTTCCCCCTCTTTTCAATTCTCAGAGACCTAAAATTTCTCCACAATGTACCTGTATCAGTTCTAAGACACTTATTCCCTGTCTTGTTCAGCATTTTAGCATCTTTGAAACTGAGATGTCTTGTAGTTGGTGTGTATGTCGTAATTTAATTGGCAACAGGTTTTCCTTGCTAGTGGTACATAAAATAATGGTGTATCTTACAATCAGGGGCATCTGAGATTTGATTTTTTATAAAGTTGAGGGAACTATATTCAATATCTTGTAATCATTTTTAATGAAAAAATATGAAAACAAATATGTGTGTGTGTGTGTGTATATATACACATGCATGACTGGGACTTTGCGCTGTTCACCAGAAACTGACACATTGCAACTGACTACACTCCAATTAGGAAAAAAAAAGAAGAGTTGACATTCTGCTTTTCTTTTCAACCCTGGTTAGCCCTTGGTGGGTCTGTCCCTCTGAATATTAATGTTTTTTCCCCTTAGCTAATGAAAGTTTTATTTTTTTATTACTGTCTTACTTCCACTGTATCTGTTTTCTTTTCTGAAAACTCTGTTGGAAAGGTATTATACCTCTGGGATCTACCCTCTGTATTTTAACTTTTCTCATGATCTCTAACTGCCGCTTTGCACTATGTTCTAAGAGACTTTTTTTTTTGTGCTTTATCTCCTAGATTATTAGTTAAGCTCTTTAGCTGGGTCAATCTTATTATTCAGCCTGCCCAATGCCTTTTTTTTGTTTGTTTGTTTGTTTGTTGTTACTTCCAAGAAAGTGTTCTATTCCTCAAACTGTTCCTTTTCATGGTAACCTGTCCTTGCTTAATGGATAAAAGTTTCTCTTGAATGTTTCTCCAAAATGTATTTATTTTTTAAAATGTCTTTTAAGTTCTTATCTGTTTCCTAGATTAACTCTTTCCTACAGGTCCAACTGCTTTGTTCATGCTCTTTG